GGGAAGGGCTAATGAAAATGCCATTTACTTGCTTTAAGCTTTCCCTTTAGAAACAGGAAACTACCTGCTGAGAATCATGGTGATTTTCCAAGTTTACTACCATGCTCCAAGGGTTTATACTCAGTTTTCCTTCACAAAGGAAGACTTAACAACTGTTCCATCAGGATGTGACAAAACAAAAGTAGAATTCCGAGAGAGGGGAAGGTGGATGGCCAGTGTAAGGACAGGAATTAGAAAGCAGAGTCCCCACCATAACAGCTCATTCTCTTCATAGATTTACAAAAACAGGTAGGAAGGATATCCAGGTAGCTTCCTACTTACCTATTTCACCATGTTTAGTGATAGGACCTGCATGAATCTTCAAAATATCTAATCTGGCTTGTTCATTTGGCAGATCAATATCTAGAAAAAATTACAACTTTAATAAGAGCAGAAAACCACAATCAATACTGGTAATATCCTCCTTACAACCACTGTGAAGTAGTAACTCACGGATTTTTCTATCCAGTCTTCCAGGCCGCAGAAGCGCCGGATCCAGTGTGTCTGGTCTGTTAGTAGCCATGATCATTTTAACTCTGTGCAGAGTATCGAATCCATCCATCTGATTCAATAACTAATAGAAAGCAGAAGTTTGTTTTTAAACAACCCAAAACTTTCCTACTGTGATCTATTGTACTTACCTTTCTGCAGGAGTATTTTCACCAACATATAAAAGTGGTGAAATCAGAAAAAAAAAATGTTACAAGCTGCCTAATGAAAGGCCACATGCTTCCTGCGTATTCTATAAGCAATAAAGAGAAGCTTAAGAGAGACACTGAAAATGCTTTGCCCAGGGAAAAAGATACCGAGCAAAGCAGAGCTCAAATGTGAAAGACTTGGCTGAAACAATAAGGCAGTGAAAACAGTGCAAGTGCTGAAGGAGCCAATGCCTGGCTGGCACATTTTGATTGTATTTGCATGTCCAGGACATTCAAATGAGACTTGGAGAGCCACCTCTAGAATACTAATGCACACATACATTGAAGATTTCATTGTGAAGTTTCAAAGCACTTGTTCTTTGATTGCAGTGATTTAATTCTTCATGTAAGGCAGACACATTCTTTTGAACTGGGCAAAACTGTTTGCAAACACAGGCCAAAGAAGTTTCACATCAGCTTCAGAACTCTTAATTGTCACCAGCGGTTTTAAGATTATCTTCACACAACCCAGTTTACCAGAGCAATTAGTACAGAAACAAAGAAATGCAACTACTTCTCCTCCTAGTTCAGAAAAAAAAATAAATAATCAAACTGTAACAGTCATAAAATTTTATTTATAGTGTCACTGGGACTAGAAGAAACAAGCTCAGCATTTCCTTCTTACGAGGGGCCCTCCAAATCTTCAAAGAAAACGTGGTAAGCAGCCACAAAGTCAAGTCATAGTAAGAGGAGAAAATATCCCAAATCGTTCTAGCATTTTTAAAGATTCTTTTGATTAGTCTCCAACTTGAACTCATGGCTGAGTTATCAGGATGTGCAGCTGCCTTTTGGTAAAAGCATCATCTAGTTCAGTTTCAGTGTCAGATTATTAACTCTGAAAAAGTTTTACTGAGAACTTACTGAGGCAGATCAGTGTAACAATTTGCATCTGTATGGGCTGCAAATCATGGAGTCAGGGATTAAACACTCACCTCCATCAGAGTCCTCTGAATTTCTCTATCAGCTGAGGTGCCTTCAGAAAAACGGCGACCACCTGCAGCATCCCAAACTTGTAAGTGACAGTACTTTACTTTTGCCTCCATATAAAACTAAGATGACAATTAGGTATCCCTCTTGAACTGGGGGTAGGAGGGGTGGTACTTAAGACAGTTAAATGGATGCATTTTTAAAATGCTTTTTCACATAGTCGAAAATATCCAAGCAGGTATCAATAGAATGATAGAACAGTTTGGGTTGGAAGGAACATTAAAGATCATCCAGTTCCAACCCCCCAGTTACAGGCAGGGACACCTTCCACTAGACCAGGTTGCTCCAAGCCACATCCAACCTGGCCTTGAACATTGCCAGGGATGGGGAAGCTTTTCAGTTTTAAGCTATTTGCCCTTGTCCTATCCCTAAATGCCCTTATCAAAAGCCCCTTTCCATCTTTCTTGACACCCACTTTAGGCACTGGAAGCTGCTCCAAGGTCTCCCCAGAGCCTTCTCTTCTCCAGGCTGAACAACCCCAGCTCTCTCAGCCTGTCTCCAGAGCACAGGTGCTCCAGCCCTTGGATCATCTTCATGGCCTCCTCTGGACTTGCTCTAAACAGGTCCAAATCCTTCTTATGCTGGGAATCTTTATTATTTATGGTTTCAAGCTAGCTGCAACAGCTCCAGAAGGAAGCTGAACCACTTGGCCCAATATGTTTCTTCCAAACAAACACACTTGCACTATTTCTTTTGAGAGGAGAGACTGTGGCTTTATAGCCAATTTCAGTGTTAAAAGCATAATTTAGCCACCCCCCAGGCCATCAGCCTTACCAATAGCATCTATCTCATCCATGAAAATGATACATGGCTGATGATCTCTGGCATAGTTGAACATCTCTCTGATCAGTCGAGCACTTTCACCAATGTACTTGTCCACTATTGAACTTGACACCACCTTTTGAAAGACAAAAGGCACACGGATGAAGACACTGGAGTGCAAACAAATTAAGCATGTGCTCGAGTGCAAGAGTACAATCACACTACCTTCAGGAAGTTGCAGTCAAGCTGGCTAGCAACAGCTCTGGCCAGAAGTGTTTTTCCTGTACCTGGAGAGACAGGATATTGAAGGATTTTAAAAAGCAACTGCATGCATTCAAAAAAAAGCCACAAAATGAAGTAATAAAACAGTACCAGGGAATAAGAAAAGTAAAAACAAAAAAAACCAAGCTCATTGCCACAGTTTGAGAGTGACAACAAAGCATTCATTACCCTTTTGTGAAACTCACCGGGGGGGCCATAGAGCAAGCAGCCTTTTGGAGGTATAATTCCCACACGCTGGAATAGTTCTGGGTTTGTAAGAGGCAGCTCTATTACCTGTGAAGAGACAGATGAACAAACTAAGACTCAATGTTTGAGTTTCAGCTCAGCAATCCCAGGAAGCTAAGGGTACACTTGCCAGCCTGCTTTCCAGATACCTGTATTCTGATTTATCTGTCCATATTTTGTATGAGAAGCAGTAAGAAAATGTCAGATTGATCCAAGGGAGCAATCCACAACCCTGCCTTCTTTGTTCAGACTTCAGCTCAGCAATGGCTAGTCTCTCACAATGCTCTTTGCTACTGTCATAATTCTGCTACCTAGAGTGATTCTAGTAGGTTTTGTGCAAAATTCAAGCCTGGTTTGCTGGCTGTCAATCCTAACTGTGCTCTCCCAGTGATTTTAGGCATGCCCTTAGCTAGAGTCTCAGCTCCTCCAAATTCTCCTCTTCAGAGAATTTTCTTCATTTTAATCTCAATCCAAGCTGCTTTAACGGCAGAGGTAAGATATATCAGTCTGAGAACTGGGCTGTGGTGTTTAGAATAATCTCTCTGCTACTGTGAGGTGTGTGCCCAGCACACAAACAATCCGTTACATAGCAGGACAAGCTCATCTTCTAACACTCCCATTCTTGGGCAGGCCTGCACAGCCTGCAGCTCTGATGCCCAAACTAATTGGATTACTTCAGTACAAGCACATCAGTGTCCTGCCATCACACTGCTGTTTGCCACAAAGCCAGTGACAAAGCTGGAAAACATGGAAACAATCCTTCAGAAGTTAGCTTTTAGTATAGGAAAATGTGGTCTAAGCTAATGAAACACGGAAAGCACCAATCTGATAGGATCTTTTAACAGCCTGTCTCATGATATTTAGGACAAACATCAATAGAACATTCATGTGCTGAAAAACTTCACTCAGAACATGTACCACTATTCGGTAAGTGTTTCTGAGATACTCGATACCTCTCGCAGCTCTCTGATTTGTTCTGACAAGCCTCCAATCTCAGAATATGAAACATCCCCTGGATCTTCATGAGACATATTATAAACCAATGGATCCACTTCCCTTGGCAAATACCTGGGGGGGGGGGAAGTGTAAAGTAGACATTTTTCATTGTGCAGACACACTTATAAAGTTACTACAATCAATTATAAAGAAACTATAAAAATTATTTCTTTTCCTCCCCACTTGATAAGACAAGTATATTTGATATTAAAAAAAAAAACCAAACAAACAAAAAAAAAAAAACAAAAAAAAGAAAAAGGAATAAACTCCAGATCTAGCAACCTTTAAGTTTCTAACCAAATAAAAGCTTAAAAAAAGTTGCTGAAAATGCCAAGTTGTTGAAAATGCCAAGTTGTAAGTGGTTTTGTTTGGTTTTTTTTGTTTGGTTTTTTTTGGGGGGTGGGATCGTGGTTTTTTGTTGTTTGGTTGAGGTCTTTTTTGTGGTTTTTTTTTTTTTTTTTTTTGGGTGGTTGGGTTTTTTTTTTTTTTTTGGGTTGTGTGGGGGTTTTGGGTTTTTTTTTTTTTGTTGTTTGGTTTTTTTTAAGAACAATCAATTTATTCTTAAACCATATGTAATTTTAGGATCACAGAATGGTTTGGGTTGGAAGGGACCCTCAAGATCATCCAGTTCCAACTGCCTGCCACAGGCAGAGACACCTTCCACTAGAGCAGGTTGCTCCAAGGCCCGTCCAACCTGGCCTTGAACACTGCCAGGGATGGGGCAGCCACAGCTCCTCCGGGCAACCTGTGCCAGTGTCTCACCATGCTCACAGGGAAGAACTTCTTCCTAATGTCCAACCTAAATCTCCCCTTTGTCAGTTTAAAGCCATTCCCCCTTGTCCTATCACTACATGCCCCTGTTGAAAGCCCCTCTCCAGCTTTCTTGTTGGCCCCTTTAGGTACTGGAAGCTGCTCTAAGGTCTTCCTGGAGTCTTCTCTTCTCCAGGCTGAACAAACCCAACTCTCTCAGCCCATCTTCATAACAGACACAAAAGTCTTCCCTCAAAGTAACTGTCCTTACTCAAGCACTGTTTTGCCACAAGCATGTACAAAATACTACAAAACTGATCATTCAAACTGTTGTGTAACCTACTCGCATCACTATTTTCCTGTCTATATAATGAGCAGAAGAGCAGCTGTAGAGCAGAAACCTACCTCATGATGGTCAGAGTGGTCATATCCAGAGCAACTCGCGTCCCCGGCTTCAGCTTACTTTTGTCAAGCTAGTCACAGAGAAAGTACTTCTATTAGAACCATACTCCAAAACAACATCTGGTTTTAGCCACAATGTTTACTGCAGCTCACACCCTTCACTTAACCACACACAAGAAGAAGACAAAGCTGCCAAGCTACATGGCAAGCAGCTCACTTAGTAAACGCTATGTTCCCACTACCACCATTTCCAGGAATTCCTG